ATGTAGATAAGATGTTTAAAGTTTTAGATAAGGATAGGTGCTGTCTCTTATACACATCTAGATGTGTATAAGAGAGAGATATATATATATATATATATATATATATATATATATGTATATATGTATATAATATAGAACCAACAATTGAAATGAAATGATTTTTTTTTCTCTTTCTTACTGTAGGCAACCATTGATAAAATCCTTCGAATGCACTTCACAGATGGAAAGACAAAATGTAAGGCAGGCATAAGAACTGTTAACTATAAATATGGAGAAAGTTTAATGTCAAAGCAAACAATAACTGGAGATATTAAAGTAGCCATATTTTGGCACCAAAACAACTATAGAAGAAGTCAGTCCAATCTATGGTGCACAGCAGCTTACAGAATTAGGGGTGGAAAGGGGAGGGGGGTTGGTCATCATACCCTTTACTCTGAAATGATGCGGCAAGGATGATGGTTCTACGATATGACCCTGGATCGGGTGTTCTCCAGTTTAATGCAATTTTAATGTCATTTGCCAAATAAATTTAATAAAATAAAATAAAGATTATACTGTAACAGTTAGCTTGCTACTGGAATCAACTTGATATTGCCAAAGTTATGAGTAAAAGTATTATGGCTTCCATGTACTAAATAATAATAATAATAATAATAGTGTAGTTTTATATAGCGCACATATCCATTTAATGTAAGATGCTTAGGGCGCTTGATTTGATTTCATTTCTTTAGGCACGAGGGCCAAGGATATGCCAATAAGTGTTACTTAATCACTGTCCTACGTGGCATATCCATTTTAACAACAGGGGACTTAATGGACCAATACACCGGGGTAACCCCCTACACTTCTCGAATGATGTACCGGGTTCTTTAAAGTGCACACAAGCCAAATGCGTACACTGGGCCTACGGTTTAAAGTCCTTATCCGAGAAGACTTGTTCCACCACCGGAACCATTGGCGAGTGAGCCGTTCGAACCAACGCCGATATTAGAGCTGAAGGTCACGGTGCCCCTGACTTAACTGCTCGGCCAATCAACTCGCCTGAGTTGATATGTCAACCAATGACTTTCTTTGCCCCTAAAGTATATAATACAGCTCCACATTCTTATGATTTAACAATTCACGACAATACACTGGTTTTGGGATGGCAAGCCTCATTTATGCATTCATGCATGTTATTAATATTTTATTGTGATTTTTTTTAAAGTGAACAACGATGCAGCCAAGCTAACTGTTGAATTTCTTCGAGTGTTTGCTCACGGTAAGATAAAAAGCCAAATTGAACAGTTAGAACTTTAATTTAAAACAAAAATTGATTGGTCTTAGTTAATATTGCTTTGATTTTCTCATTTATTTTTCTTTAAAATTGTGAAATACAACTTTCTATTAATTTTTATCTTTAATCAATGGAAATCAATCTACAGAGGGCGCTGCAAGGGCTGCAGAGCAGTCAGGCTCTGAAGGTTCAACAGTGGTTGATTTACATCATATGGAAAAGATCTTGCCACAGTTGGTGAGTAATAAAGGCTTCCCTCCAATGGTCATTGTGTTAAGCCCCGCCCCTTGGATATTGTTGCTAAGGTCCCACAAAATGACTGTAAAAACATACGCAAACATGTGTGGTGGTTTTCCGATTGGGCAGATGTTTGATCAACACCTTGGAAAGGTCTATTAAGAACCACCTCCAACTAACTATCTGCAGCCACAAATGAAAATCTATCTTTATTTTTTATAATAATGTTTTTCATTTAAAAACAGTAAACTCCAAGTCCCAAAGGTGGTCAAGACAAGACTGGCAGTAATGGTGTAGGGTTAGAAAATAATATTTACATTTTATTTACTTGATCCTGGTGGTATCCATTACGATGTGACAATTTCTTCTATTTCTACTATTTCTAATTTTCCTTTAAAAATGACATTCTAAGCTGCAGTTTAAATATGTTGTTATTTGTTTTAATATGTTTATTTAAGAGGTGGATCTGGGTTCATATTTGGGGTGGGGTCAAAATGTTTCCAAAAAACCCCCCAAAAAAAAGGATTGTCCAGTGGTCCTCCCCCGGAAAATTTTGATTGCTAGATGGCGGGAAATGAGCTTTTCCGACTTCTGAGGAGTCTTTTAATGACTTTTAAGTTCTTCAAAATTCAAGGTTTCCCCCCTCTTGAAAACGGTCAGGAAAACTTTCTCATTCTTATTACAGTAAATAGGCCTATTATGTTTGTACATACATAGAAAATAAAAAGGAGTAGTTGCATGACATATTGTTTTTTCTATAAATCGATAAACCCCAAAGAGAAAGGGGATCTGGCTGTCCTCCCCCGGGAAAATTTTGATTTCTAGATGGCGGGAAATGAGCTTTCCTGGCTTCTGAAGTGTCTTTTAATGACTTTTAAGTTCCTCAAAATTTAAGATTTTCCACTCTTAAAAACGGTCAGGTAAATTTTTCTCATTCTTATTAGAGTAATTAGGCCTATTATGTGTATACCAGACATACAGAAAAAAATTGAGTAGTTGCATACATATTTTTTCTCCATGAATCGATGAACCTCAAAGAGAAAGGGTCTTTCCCCTAGAAAATTGGTTGGAAATGAGCTCTTCCGACTTCTAATTTTCCCATTGTAACAAAAAAAAAAAAAAAATCAGCTCACTGGCCCTTAAAATGTAGAATTTTGTTTTTTTGTTATTTGGTTTTTTTTTTTTTGCCCACGGGGGTCAGGACCCTGCTGACACCCCTCAGACCCGCCAATGTTATTTGCTTTCTTGTGTTATCGACATAACTTTCAAATTTACTTTATTTCAGCTTTTGGATTTCTGAGTAGTTCTTGCAGGAAGATGACTCTTAAAATGATCTACATGCAGCACATTCAAAATATGGAACTATTGAGAAGACATTTACTGCTCTTTGCATCGGGAATAAAATAGGCATCAAGTGACTAGGAAAGCAATGTACACAACAATTGGTTCTATGCGAACACATGAAAAGGGAATATTCCTAGTCGGCTGATTGCTGTAGGTTCAAAGACTTAAATTTAGAATACAATTTTTATGTTATTTATGATCTGTTTTTTTTTTCTATTATATTTATAAGTATGGGCCCACGTGTAGTAATATGCATACTTTTTATACAGTATATGTGAATGTGTGTAAGCATAATTTGTGCGTGAATACACATGTAATGCGTAGTGCATAGATTACATGCTTTTCTTTTTAATTTAGTTCTTGCTGTATATTTCTAAATGTTGAAATAATGTCATTTGGTCTCTATATGTATACCGATTTGAAAATTTTGTTTACAATGTGCTTAGGCGTTGACTTGCTTTGCTGAGCTTCGCGCTGATGTCATCGGATCTTTATCGGGCGGTGTGACTGTCTTCCCTGTCGAACAACACCCGACGACAGTGAGGACTAGTATTTGGTTTGTTGCATTGCCTGGCGGGGGTCTGGTGGCATCAGTTCGTGGTGTGGCGAGGTGGGTGTCATGGGGTCTTTGAGCTGATGTCATTGGGTGGTGCAGCTGGCTGGTGATTATGCCATACTCTATTTTCGGTAAATTTTATGTATGGTATTGGTGTTGATATTACGTGGAGCCTATTTAATATATTGTTCTACAGCAAAATTGCAAATTTTTTTTGTGAATTTAATTAAAAGTTGATTTTACCATCAAGTCCTTTATATTTCTTTTAAAAAATATAAGCTATTAAAATCATGTTTTGAAATAAATGTTTCAAAACATACAACTTGTGAATATGCAACAATTGTAAGGTTATTACTGTATCAGAGTATTTTTTTTTTCAAATAAATTAATTTCCACCTATAGTCATTTTCCTGCTGATTCTTTCCTTATGGTACCAAGTTATCATACTTGCTTACAATTTTATAACTGGAATGAGTGAATTATTGTGATATTATGTCTTAAATACCGTAAAACTTTTGGTGGGTTCTTTTCAAGATGGGCTTCTTTTTGAGGCTAATTTTTCAAAGTAAAGATGGGGGCTTTTTTTTCCAAAATTTTGTGAATTTGTACTATAAAACAATAATTAAGGCCAATGTAACATCAATCTGTATCATGGAGTGTATTTAACTGGCATTAAATCACCTAAACTACTGTATAGACTAAGCTTGATTGAAATTCATGTACAGTGTATGTACTGTACTATCTTGAAAAAAAGCCTATGCTATATTAAAAAGAGGCCCATGGGCTTCTTTTTGAGGCTAATTTTGCAAACTAAAGAGGTGGGCTTCATTCGAGATGGGCTTAATCTCGAGAATCTGGGCTTCAATTCAATTCAATGTTTTTGTGAGATCAGTCTGATTAAGGTGAATTGAAATCAATAACAGTTATAATTAAAGTAATAATAGTTTTAACATACAGTTCAAGTATATTAGTTTACATTTTCCAAATTCAAGTACATCATGTAATTATCTTTTATACTGATAAAATGTTAAACTTTTTAAGCTAGAAATAACATGATACAAGTGGTAATTCAAATCCTTAAACACATTGAAATCAAGTGATAGAGCAAGTACAATTTATGAAGTGGGAAATGATTTAGTCTCTAATTTTGCTTGGTTTTGAGTCCAATGTTAAGATTTTATGAGACTAGTGCAGACTCTTGCTTTTTATCTGTTGTATCATCCACATCATCCTAATTGTCATCAC